TGATGTTGTATGACAGTCTGTTGTTGTATGACAGTCTGTTGTTGTATGACAGTCTGATGAAGAGGATGCTGAGCGTTGTCTATAATGTTTTTCATTTTATGAAGAATCCTTCTTTGTACAATCATCTCCAAAGGTTCTAGAGGAGTCCCCAGAACTGAGCCAGCCTTCTTTATGAGCTTGTTGATCTTTAAGTCACTTGCTCTGGTGCTGCTCCCCCAGCAGATGATGGCAGAAGAGACAGCACTCTCTACAACAGACTTATAGAAGATATGCAGCATCTTGCTGCAAACATTGAAGGACTTCAGTTTCCTTGTGAAGTACAGTCTGCTCCGTCCCTTCTTGTAGATGCTTCACTGTTGCATTTCCAGTCCAGTCTGTTGTCCAGGTGAACTCCAAGGTATTTATACTTCTCCACCACCTCCACTTCTTCTCCCATGATGGAAATAGGGTTGGACCTGTTCCTGATTCTCCTGAAATCTACAATCATCTCCTTTGTTTTGTTCACATTCAAGATGAGATGATTGTTTCCACACCAGGCCACAAAGCGGTCCACCAGTTCCCTGTACTCAGCTTCTTGTCCATCTCTGATACACCCGTATCTATACCTAGTGTATCTCGCCCAGCCCTAATATGTATATTTTATATACACACACAAATATATGGTATATAAAGGTGTTTTAAACCCTTCCCACACTCGTGCAGTATTCTAAACTGTTTCTAAACCCTAAACTTTGTAAAAGAGCACAGCATGCCATGATTTCAGCTCTCTGCCATGGCTGCCCACTTCTCCACTGCACATCAACAGAGGAGGAAGGAGGAGGAGCTGCAGGAGGACGTTTCTCCTAGTGTGGGCTGCATGGCAGCAGGTGCAAAATAATTTAAACTAATTAATTTAAATAAAAATTCCATGCTGATCGTGTGGCTCATCCATCAATCAGCCAGTTGTGCGTCAGGTCCATTCTTACTTTGAAACAGCGCAATAGAGCGAGTCCACGAAGGGCGAAGCAGCGAGGGGCTACTGTATTTTCTTTACTATTCCTGTAAGTCATTGCAGATCGTTGCATCTGAGGCCAAGCTGTGCCGCTTCAGGAACATTCCAGTGAATGTTTAACCTGTTGTTAAGAAAAGCATCTCCAGAAGCACTTACATGTGGGACATTTAGCCAGCCCGATGAGTCGTATAAAAAGCTCTTTAAATGCTTCCTGATGCAGCTTGCTTCTGCCTCATTTTGTGCAGGCAACTGCAAAAGGTTTCGTGCTGATCCAGACAAAAGAGGTCTCCATGCGGCCTGAAGATGTGAAGAGAGTGTTCCAGAACAACGCAGATGATCTTCTGGAATTGGTTACGAAAGGTAGGTTTCTTTTGGCTCTCCTGTCGTTGATTTTTATTTTATTTTTTTCAATGATCAGCATGTTTTTACTCTGTGCTTGAATCAGAAAATGTCAATCCTGTCAAAGCAAAGAGAATAAAACAAGGTGTGTTCAACAACCTGTAGAATCTGCTCTGTTTCTTTGCGTTCCTGTCTTTGTTCAAATATGAACAGACAGAAGAAGTACCCTCATCTCATTCTGCACTAAGAACGCTTTCAGTCTGCATGGTTGGAGATTTTTAGTCAGTGAGGCATGAGAGGTTTTTGAAACGGCACCTCACCAATACGTACACTACGTTAAGCTAGTTGTGTAAATTATTGATATGTTTTTTAATTTTGTCTTTGTTCTGATTTACAAGCAGTTTCCATTATTTTGCCGTTCACTCTGGAATAAGTTGGTAGTGGGGCTGGGTGATATCAACCAAAACTAATATCTCAATAATTTTAAGATGAATTGCGATATACGATATAATCTCAATATTTTTTCTTTCCATAAACTAATAACAAAAATATATTTCTGAGTCGAAGCTTTGTCCCACTTGTCACACAGGCACATTTATTAGCAACAGCTGTAACTGTACAAAATAAATGTCTAAAAAATAAACTATTTACATATATAAAATAATCCTCTTCAGCAGGGGGCGGCTGTGGCTGAGTGGTTAGAGCAGTCGTCCTCCAGTGGGAGAGTTGGGGGTTCGAATCCACCAGCAGTCACATGCTGAAGTGTCCCTGGGCAAGACACTGAACCCCTCACTGCCTGTGATGTGTGTCCCATCAGTGTGTGAATGTGATGAAGCTCTGATTGAGATCTAGTAGAGTGTATGAGGACCAGTGAGGGCACAGATTGTGTTGTGAAGAGTTGTCTCTTGATAACATAGAAAGGCTCTAGATAAGTGCAGTCCATTCAGCTGCGCCGCCTTCACGTTGGTAAGCGTGTGTGAAGCTGCAGCAGCAGGTCCGACAGACTTCAGCCTCCTTCCCTGAAACAAACCACGGTTCAGAACTCATTTAGCCGTGCTGTGCCTTATGAGAGGAACAGAGAGAGGTGGCGCGACGTTAATAAATCAGCAGCTTATATCACTATGACACGGTCCCAGTCTCAGTTGTGGAACAAGATGTCTAAAGCATTAGCCGTCTTGTTAGCTGCTAAGGACCTTGTATATATCGATATGATAAACTGCTACTCCTTTATTAATGTTGCGGCGCCACCTCTCACTGTTCCTCTCATAAGGCACAGCACGGCTAAATTAGTTCTGACCCATGGTTTGTTTCAGGGAAGGAGGCTGAAAACTTACGCGGACCTGCAGCTGCAGCTTCACACACGCTCATCTTCCACTCTGCTGTTTTAAATGGTAAAAAGATTCATAGTTCAGACCTTTCATCGGGACTTGTTTTCAGCATTGTCTACAGAAATCATCTTTCAGAGTCAGAGTCAGAGTTTCTTTATTGTCATTCGCACCTCATGTGGTACATGTGGTGGAGCGAAATTATGTACACAGGGTCCCAGTTACATCCAACAATAAAATGTATAAGAAAAACAGTAATAACATCTAAGATATGAACTAAGAAAAACATCAACTAAATATACACTAAGCACCTTTCTGCCACTCACCTGACAATTTAAATCCAAGCCATCTCTGAAATAACAGCCATTGTTTTTCATTTTATTCAGCAGCTAAGCTGCTCTTCATACATCTTCAATGTTTACTTGTGCTAAACGTCTCCCTCCCACCTTGTGGAGAAGCAGGAAGGAGGGGAGCGCAGCTGAGGGGCTGTGTGCTTGTATTCAAAGAGGGAGAAGGAGGGGGCCGAGTGGGAGTAAGAAGACAGCAGCAGGATTTCCAAGTATAAAACTATATTGTTTTAAATCGATGTAATCTCAACTTATATCACAATAAAAAATTATATTTATATTTTTCCATTTAAAAATAAAGTTTATATTTCAGATCCTTATTTACTGTTCCTTTTAACACTTGATATTTTTGCTATTGTTGGATGTAACTATGTTCCAGAACTGCGCCGCTCCAGGTGGCTGCATGTTGGAGCAGCTCTGCTACTTTCATTCTGAGATTTTGCTTTTGGAAACTTTAATTCCTCTTTTTCTGGATGTAAATCATATTTTTTGGATGATTGTTTCCTCTGGTATCAGATGCTGTGCAGCTGGAAGGATTTTTACTGAAACTTTTTTAGTTTTGGACATTTGTTATGATGTGTAACCATGGCAACAAGGTAGTTTTCTACAACCAACAGCTGATTAACATCTCAAAAGCTCAAATAATATCTCGACAGCCCCAAATCTCAAATGAGTTGAAAAGGATGTTCTGTGGATGCATTCTCATCTACCTGCCAGCTGTGCTCGAGTACCTGACCACTGAGATCCTGGAACTAGCAGGAAACACGGGTCATGACAGCAGAAGGACAGGATCGTCCCTCGGCACCTACAGTTGGCTGTCCGCAGCAACGAGGAGCTCAGCAGACTGCTGGGAGGAGTGGCCATCACTCTGGGAGGAGTTCTGCTCTGCATTCAGGCGGTCCTACAGTCCAGGGGAACTGAGAGGCCAGCTGAGTCTGGGTGGACGGATCGGACGGCATCTGCAGCCATTTTCTTAGGATCCACTGTGGGATAGACCTTTACAAGAGATCCTTCCTGTCTACAACCATCAGCATCTATAACATCTCTTAACACCCTGGACGGGTCGCAAGTCCATCACAGGGACACATAGAGACAAACGAGACAAACAACCATTCACTCTGTCACACCTAGGGACAATTTAGAGTTACCAATCAGTCTAACATGCATGTTTTTGGTCTGTGGGAGGAAACCGGAGCACCTGGAGAAAACCCACGCATGCATGGAGAGAACATACAAACTCCACCCAGAAAGTCCCCTGGACCGGGGTTTGAACCAGGAACCTGCTCGCTGAGAGGCAGCAGCTCTACCTGTTGCACCACCGTGCTGCCCTGTGCTGAAACAATCAAATGTTATGATATTTTTGTAATTAAAAGTTCCTTTACAATCTATTTTGTGATGAAAAAAGTATTCATTAGGTGATTGTAAGTGATTTTAGAAGAAGGGTTTTTATACCTCTCTATTAAGTTTTTTTTCTTGTTTAGGATTAGAAGAGCAAAGTTCAAAGTTGAGAACCAGTATCACTTGAAGCAATTGACAGGAAACTCGGCAGTGTGGTGACGGTGGATACAAGGATGTTACGCAAGGCACCTGTCACGAGCTTACAACAAAAGTGGAAGTACACTGTTTAGACAGCTGCGCGGTTGCATAAAAACCACATGCTGAAAAACAGAAGACACACTTTTGAACTGTTGAAAAGTCTTCAAAATGATTGACAAGTTTTCAAAATGGATGTTATATCAGAAAGAAGCCAATCAGAGACAAGAGATGGGTTTAAGAAAACAAGATAGCAGGTGAAAGTCGGTCAGTCATCTCAGGTAGAGATGGAACACGGTTGTCAAGCCCTGAAGACTTGGATCAGATCTGAAGATTGAAGAGGGAACATTGTGGCTGCAAAGAACTGAACAAACAACCAAAGATGGAAACTTAAAGCAATGAAGAACCGCTCAGCAGCACATGATCACCCTTCAAGAGGACTGACCCCAGATAACTCTGAACAAGTCTCTGATTGGAATTAATGACATTTGATGACTGTTTTCAACAAAGACTGTAGGAATTATTCTCTTTTTTCCTGGAAAACCAATCCAATCATGGGATATGTGATAGGAACCAGCCTTTGAACTATTTTACTTGATTTTAAAATTACAGGTTGTATTTTGTGGTTTTTCTTAGGGACAGCACAGTTAGGGTGTAGGCCATTTACAAGAGATTATTATAAGAGATTGGTGCATCCACACCTAGAAAAATTTGGATTTTCACCTGTTTTTATTAATTTTTATTCCATTCATTATACTGCATTTATTGAAACACATCTGCTTGCACTGCTGCTGGATTTTTGAAAGCTATGAATGTTAACCTTATGCAAATTTATGATTAAAAACACAAAGCATGAAAAATTTAGAGTGTTGGACTAATTTTCCTGATGGCATCTGAATGATACATACTTGTTGCTGAACTTGGTATAACCCGTCTTTAATGATGCAGAGTTCAGTGTTAAAGGTTTTTGTCTTGTGTGGAAATGTGTGAAAGTTTTGTGTGTTAAGGCGATACAAGAGGGAATGGAGGCAGAGCAGGCAGAGAGTTCAGCATCCTGACTGCCTGATGAACAGAGCTGTCTCTCAGTCTGCTAGTTTGAGCCGGGAGACTCCGCAGTCTCCTCCCTGATGGCAGCAGGCTGAAGAAGCTGTGTAGTGGGTGTGTGAGATCACCCGCCATGCAGAGGGCTTTCCAACTGAGGCGGGTACTGTGCAGGTCATGTAGTGAGAGGAAGGAGGTGCTGATGATCTTCTCAGCTGCTCTCACGAAGCGCTGGAGTGTCTTGCGGCAGGATGCGGTACATGCACCAAACCACACCGTGATGCAGCTGGTCAGAACACTATGGCACCCCTATAGAAGGTGCACATGATGGGGGTTGGAGCTCCAGCTTTTTTCAGCTTGTGGTGAAAGTAGAGGTGCTGGTGAGCCTTTTTCGCCAGTGATGCAGTGTTCCTGCTCCAGGACAGGTCCTCTGAGACGTGCACTCCCAGGAACTTGGTGCTGCGCACTCTCTCCACAGTAGTACTGAAGTCCACAACAATCTCCTTTGTCTTATCCACATTCAGAGAGAGATTGTTGTGTCCGCACCACAAGGCCAGGTGGCTCACCTCGTTCCTGTAGTCTGTCTCGTCATTGTTGCTGATGAGATCCACTTCAGTTGTATCATCCACAAACTTGACAAAGTAGTTGGAGCTGTATGATGGTATGCAGTCGTGTCAGCAGGGTGAATAGAAGGGGGTTCAGCACACATCCTTGGGGGGGCTGTATTCAGTGTGATGGTGTTGGATGTGTTACTGCCGACCTGTACTGCCTGTGG